AGAGGCACTCTAGACGTCAAATACAACCTTGGACCCGGCTTTGACGGTGACATTACGGTTTCAATGAATGTTAGAAATTATTATCAAGTCAAATCAATCTACAACGTGATTGGAACTATGTATGGCAGCGTCGAACCTGATCGGATCGTTTTGATTGGTAACCATAGAGACTCGTGGGTAAACGGAGCTGTTGATGCCTCTACCGGGACCACAGTGACCACTGAAATTGCTCGCGGGCTCGGAGAACTGAAGGACGCAGGATGGAAGCCACGTCGAACAATTAAGGTAGAAACCAATCTAGTCTGATCCTTTTCATAAGGGGAGGGAGGGGGAGGGGGAGACCGGGGAAAATGCCCTACTTACCTATATTTCGTCTATCCGTCTTCCTCTGAAGATAATATGATGTAAATGACTTAAATCTTACTAAGGCAACCAATTTTTGACAGGATAATTTACCCAAATTTTGATTTTTAGGCTAGTAATGTTGAATCTAGGAAACCGTCTTATAAGTTTCTTAAAGGTCTTTTTTAGGTTGATATCATGGCCTCACTTTTGATGTTAATTATATTAGTATTTCTAAATACAGTCAACTCCCTTTACAGCGGACACTGTAGGGACCTCGAGTTAGTGTCCTCATTAGCAAGAGTCCGTAATAGCGAGAGTTTATTTCAGTCAATCCTCTGTAACTTTTTTTTACCGGGGATTTAGCTGCTGTCCGTATTATCGGGGTGTCCATAATAGCGGGGTGTCCGCAAGGCGAAAGTTGACTGTGACTGCTGACGGTGTTGTATGGAATTGTACCATGGGATTGTTATCGCTTCTTTCATTGGCTATTGCCTGGCCGCACGGGTCGCTGGGTCAAATTTCGTTCCCAAAACAAACCCATACTGCAATTTATCACTGGACCAGGATGGGCTCCTGGCTGAACCCAGTCTCCCACCTAACCGTAAATTCCCCAATGACGTGTTCAAACACACTGCTCTTGTAGATTTGCAGCTGGGGTGGTGAGGAATACAGTCTGATCGGGTCAGTGGAATGGGTCGAGCAACATGAAAAGCTTCTCACAGAACGAGCGGTAATCTACATGAACGCAGATACGGCAGTGGCAGGTAACTACAGAATGGAACTTCATTCCTCTCCTCTTGTAAAAGACACTTTGAGGGAATTCAGCAAGACCGTGGAAAGTCCTAACGCGCATGGCGATAAGAAAACCATATATGACCTCACGGCTGAAAGAAGACCTGCCACACCGAAGACAGATCCCCCTAAGCCGGAAGTGGGAAACTTGGGCTCCGGAAGTGATTATGCTTCTTTTTATCAGTTTATCGGCGTCCCTGCGGCCGACTTCATCTA